TTGAGGCTTGGCTCCAGCTCTTAGGCCTCTGCTGCTGAAAGTAGGTTTCTGGCCTTTGCTTACAATGTTGCAATTCTGCTGGCTGAGGTCCGGTGGTATTTGTTACAGTTTCTTAAACTGCAGGCTCAGAGGCCTGCAGCCGCAGGCGGGGAAAATTGGTTTCCTCCGTCACTGAGGCAAGCAAGTTTCAAGCTGCCTGGCTGCCGGCTGCCATCTTGGCTGACAGTTAATTTGCATATCTCGCTGATTAGCCAATGAAAAGGGTAGCGGTCGTACGCCAATTACCATGTTTCTCTTTTATTAGTGTAGATATTTATATAATATATAAAGTCACCCTTTCATAATAGTGTGACTATATAATAATGACAATAACGAAAAACTTGTTGCCATTCATTATTTTATATTCAAAGCCTTTTATTACTGACACGCTGATATTCTGCAACAAAATAGTTCTTCTAAATATAATACATTTCATTTATGTAGGCTTGATATATTTATGCCACATCAAGCTTCCTTGAATAGCAAATGATAGAACACCTAGTCACAGAAGCTAAATTTTGAATGTTTCATTTGGCTAATTTTATTTGGCCAAATTCTACATAGATCTTAAGTTTAGAAAACTTTGCAAACCATATCACAATAAAGTTTTATTTTTGCCCCCTAAATAATACCCGCTTTCCAAAGGCTCTGTTTCATGTTGCCCACTGCCATTGTCCGAGTGCTTGATTTGTGCTTCCCTCTCAGATAGAAGAGCTGGAGAAGCAGCTGGTCCTGGCCAACTCAGAGCTAACTGAAGCGCGGACGGAGCGCGACCAGTTCAGTCAGGAATCGGGGAATTTGGACGATCAACTTCAAAAGCTGTTGGTGAGATTATGCTCTAGAATATGACTGACATTAGTTCTGGGAAGTTTTTCACCAAAATATTTCACAAAACTAGTTTCATTTATAAAATTACAATTTTCACAAAATATTTGTGCATACATATAAAGTTACTCAAGTTTTGCATATAAAATGGAATATTCTATATTTTATCTTTTTCTTCCTTTCTTAAGTAGAACTGTCATGGCTTAAATGTTAAGTGAAGCTAATCTTCAAAAACCATAGTTTTCAACAACTAGATACTACATTCTGCTAAATTTAAGTAGTGTTAAGTATTCATTTCAAAGGAAAATAACATTTAAAACACAAATTATGTATATAAAACATTTGAATGGAAATTTAAGTTAAATATTTTTTAAAGAATGAAAAGGGAATTCTGATCATTGTAAACCAGCCTCTGTTTGAGGTTCTTAGACTGAGACATTTGGAGAAGGAAATGTTTGTTAACCCTTTGTGTGGTCCAGCGGGACAGTGGAATATGTTTCTCTCTTACTCGCTAACCCCATTCTAGGGAACAGTGCTCTCCGCCAGTAGCACCATTCTTCTTAGGCTGACGCGGACTTGAGTATCGCCAAAGGCAGAGCTGGCAACTGTGTGCGCAAAGCTCCAGACCCCGGGATAACCTTTCTCTTCTTTCCCCCCTATTGCCTGTTTCCAATCCTTTCTCTATATACACCCAGTGCTCCAAGCTCATGCCCCTTTCCGGTCCCTTCTTCCTGATCTCTGCATCTCCAAACTGTCCCCAAGTCCAACTCACATGCCTTCTCAAAGCATTTTGATCTCCTTAGCGATTTCTCTCTGCTAGTCCTTAGCTCTGTCTCTCATGAAAAAATACTTCCAGTTATTTGTGCCTCTAATTTTTCTCTTTGGGCGCTAAGTCCTGTAAGTCTCCTACTCTGTTGAGTTTTTTGCTAACAGTAGATACTCTCTATACCAGTGATGGCGAACCTTTTGAGCTCGGCGTGTCAGCATTTTGAAAAACCCTAACTTAACTCTGGTGCCGTGTCACATATAGAAATTTTTTGATATTTGCAACCATAGTAAAACAAAGATTTATATTTTTGATATTTATTTTATATATTTAAATGCCATTTAACAAAGAAAAATCAACCAAAAAAAATGAGTTCGTGTGTCACCTCTGACACATGTGTCATAGGTTCGCCATCACTGTCCTAGGGCTTGAATGGCAAATATGGGTTACGGACACGAGCCATTCTCCCATCTCATGCCTCCTGCAGTCATTGCTAACACACCCTTTGCTCGCCATCTCTGTGCAACCTCAGAACCCTGTTTACCCCAATTCTCTAGTTGTTTTTACCAAACGATTAGAGACAGAGGGTGAAATTTGAGCCTGGGTTCCAGATTGAGTAACAAAACACCGTGTTTCTGGATCACAATTATGTAAACACTTGCTCCAAATGCTTCCCTCATGGTTCCTACTCTGGCCTTGTGCATTTGCTTCTGATGGTCACGGTTGGCCTGTGCCCTTTACCTCATGGCCTTCTGACTTTCAGAACATCATATGCTCTCACGTCCAGCTTTGAGGAATTAAAATATTCATTCCCCCCTTTTTAAAATTCTTTAATAGTTAGGGTATTACATATGTGTCCTTCCTCCCCCCCCCATTAAATCCCCATTCTACCCCTGCCCCATGCT